AAGCTGTATTATTAGTGGTATTGGATATTGTCACAGGATTATGAATTTTTGCTGCTCATAACTATTTATTTATGAAAAATAAATAAAATTTCCAAATGAAAAGAGAAGAAGGAAATAGCGTGGCAATGCTTAATGAATGCTCTACCGCAAAAGCATGCCCTTAGTTATTCCAAATGGTTGTTAGAGCTTCATTGTTTCCTGGTGTGATGACCTTGCTCAAAGAACAAACGTGTTGGACAACACGTAGCATTTGCCAGTCAATCAGTCTCCTTCAATACTAGGACCAATGTATTCGTAACATTTACACACACACACACACACACACACCCCAAATTCCTTAATTTTATTATATAAATTTGTTCCTGACTGACTGACAATCCTCAAAAGCTTATTCCATTTGGCATAATTTTTTAGTGGCACCCTCTTCTGTGCTGTCCATTTCATTGTGCTTATAGTATTTATAAACAGGTGCTGAAATGTCATTTAACAGGCACTCAATTCATCTTTTTTCTGTGACTGTGCAGCTTTTTGTTTGTTAATTAAGTCTTCTACTTTTATTATATTTACATTTTTCCCTATGATAACTTAATTTTAAAAATTAAATAGCCTATTTTTCTCTTACTCAATCTGCTTTGATGTTTGCTGCTATATACATTTTATTTCTCCTTCTGTGTTTAATCTCACCTACCAGTGCATGGGTACAGAGATAAATGTTTTACTCAGTCAAATCCCAAATCTTCAGCTAAGGGAAGAGTCCATAATCAAGGTACTGTATTATGTGTCTTGATGTGTCATTCTTTTAAACCATCTTCATATGAAACTATATACAGGTGACTTTTTCACATTTGTTTGTCAAATTATATCCTTTATTCTCACCTACATTCTGATTTTCCTGTGATTCTATTTACAAAAAAATATTACTTGCCATAATATCTAAGAAAAACTCATGGATTATATAGAAAGATTCATGCATGTTAAGCAGAAATCACCTATAAAACCTTTTCTTGGGAACTCCTGACCCCATAAATACTTATAAAGAGAGGGAGAAGCAGATTTGACATTATCATGGTAACTTCTAATTATTAATACCTAGAAACATGCTTTGATTTAACACTAGGAAAGGATTAAAGCTTCTCAAATAGCCTTTCTAGATCTAGACAAGAAAACCTGCTGTAGAGAAGCAGTAGGGAAGTTCTCTATCCATGTAACCCTATCACTGTTATGAACACCACAATCTATAGGCATTTATGAGGGAGTCTGTTATCTTGAAGGTGCTTCAGTGCTAATCAGGTTTGAGAATTAGTATATGCTTTTGGTTTGGATGTTTAATATTTAATAATCTCACTTGCATACAGAAATCCTTGTTCTAATTAACATAATTAGGGTCAGCTTATATCATGAGACTCTTCTAGCATTTTAGCTTGCTCTTTCTCTTAGAAGACATCTGCTTTAACTGTACATTTTAAATAAAGCCTCCTAAGATTCAGAGAAGTACATGTTACTAAATTTATAATTGCTCATTGTTTTTCATGGATACTGGAAAAAACTGTAATAAAAGTTTTACTTGTTTAGAATTACATTATTTTGGCATGATATACAAATATTAACTCTAAATCCAGACTCCAATTTTAGTAGATTTATTAAATTTCTATTTTATACTTTAATTTAGATTTCTCGTTGAATTGACTAAATAAGCAGAAGAATGTTCTTTATTTTTTTCATGAAGCCCTGAGAAATTCTCCTTCCTAAACATTATTAGTGCCTCCTGATGGCATTTTTAATTTCCAGTATCAGTGTACTCTTTCTACTTATGATCTTAGTATTTACTTATAAATACTGAATTTACAACAAAATCTAAAATGAGATTGACTAGGGTGACTTTGTAGGTCCTTCTGAGCCTAAGATTGTGGAATTTTGAAATGCTATATTGAATAACGCTTATGTTATGAAGGTGAATAGCAAATGACCAGTATGATTTATGAGTATTTAGATTAATTAACTTGCTGTTACATCTAAAACGGTAGCTCCAGAGCATGCATCTTTTTCCTTATTCAGTGGCATTCCCACATCAGATTATCTCACTCAATTCTTTTGGCTTTTATGAAGGTGTATGGGCAAGTCTTCGCTCTAGCACTCGCTTGATCAGCTCCCCAACATCCTTCATTGATGTTGGTGCCCGGCTGGCAGGCAAGGATCACTCAGCGTCTTTTAGTAACAGCACCTACCTACAAAACCAGCTCTTGAAACGCCAAGCAGCCCTTTATATATTTGGTGAAAAGTCACAACTAAGGGTAAGATTTCTTTTTCTCACCTAGAAACTTCATGGATACACTAAGGCAGTTTATAAAACCTATGTCACAAACTGGTTTTCTCAGAATTGTTTTTTACAGCATGGTTCTTTTTAATTTCTTTTTCTTTTGAAACAAGGTCTCACTCACTCTGTTGCCCCAGCTAGAGTGCAGTGGCATGATCATAGCCCACTGCAACCTCAAACTCCTGGGCTCAAGGGACCCTCCTGCCTCAGCCTCCCAAGTAGCTGGGACTACAGGCATGCACCTCCACACCCGGCTAATTTTTTCTATGTTTTGTAGAGAGGGGGTCTCACTCTTGCTCAGACTGGTCTGAATTCCTGACCTCAAGCCATCCTCCCACCTTGGCCTCCCAAAGTGCTAGGATTACAGGTGTGAGCCACCACACCCAGCCATACAGCATGATTCTTAACCTGGAGTTAATAATCTCAAAAAAAATTTAGCTCTCCCTTTATATTTTTATATATATATATACACACACATATATATTCATGTATGTATGTATCTGTATTTTACATATAGATACATATGCATATACACATATGCATATTTATTGTCCATGAAAATATATATTTATTCATAACCATAAAAAATCAACATAAACATCAGGAATATTAGGAAGTGAAGTACACATACAAAAAAAGATAAGGCTTATTCAGGCTGTGTTTTCCACAGTCTTGATTCAGTTTCCACAGGAATCTGTACCCATGGCAAAACAGATGGTTTTGTTGTTGGAAACCTATTGATAAAAAAAAGCTACAAGAAGATAGAAGGATGGAGAGAGGAAGACTGTGGCACCACATATGGAAGCAAAGGAAAGCCAAGGCTAGGTTTTCTAAGTAACATTTTTTTAAAACTTTGCAAGGCTGTATATATAGAGACACATGTCCTAAGACATGTCAGAAAATTCAAAATATTAGATGCTGATCAACTTTATTAAATTCTTACTATTAAATTATTATGCCAAAGAGCTTCGCTATGCTGAGGTATCATAAATTGTAAAGATAGTCTTTTCCTCCACAAGCAATGATAATTCCTTGAGTTAAATGTTTTCTTTTTTTTGAGACAGAGTCTCGCTTTTGTTGCCTGGGCTAGAGTGAATGCTGTGGCATCAGCCTAGCTCACAGCAACCTCAAACTCCTGGGTTCAAGCAATCCTCCTGCCTCAGCCTCCCGAGTAGCTGGGACTACA